ATCAATAAGCCAATGGTTAGCCAAAATATGATTTTTTAGCTCGGTCTGTGTCTCCTAATAACCCACTCCCCGAGACCCAAAGTCCCTCTGGATTCTTTCTCATGTACTCTCTTTTTTGAGCTCTGGTGATAAGTTCAAGGCTGTAGGGAGAGACTCTAAGGGTGGAGGGTGGGGAATATCCAAATTCCTATATTCTGTAACTTTCAAGGAAAAGGCTGTTTAACAAGGCCTGGAAAGGGGGTTAGGAGGAATGAGAGAAAATGAATAGGACGGACAACCTCCTTTCATATGGCCGTATCAGTTGGACCACTGGACTACTTTAAAATCTCATTCTTTAACAGCTGATCTCTATATAGTACTTTAAGGTTTGGAAAGTGCTTTTCATATATTATCTCATATTATGTTTATAACAACCTTGTGAGGCAGGCAGCAGCAGCATGGTTTTATGGAAGGCAGAGAACCTGGGTTCAAGTTCAACCTTAGTGTGACCTTGAGCACAGTCATATCACCTCCTAGGTGAAGCCCCTTATAACTCTAGATCTGTGATTCCCTGATCCCATTTTATGGATGAGGAAACTGAGGTTTAGTGAGTTACTGATGGTCACTCACGTCTTCTTGACTCCAAGGCAAGCCTCATCTACTATAGTATCTGTGTTTTTTCTATTAAGGGTAGTCACCACTCTCTTTGCCAGTGCTCACTGTAATAATAATTACATCTCAATTTTCTATGGCATGTTACAATTTATAAAAACACCTTTCTCGCAACAATTCTCTAGGGTAGTTAGTACACAGATCATTCTCCTCTCCCCTTCTCAAATTTAACAAATGGTGAAACTGAGGCTCAGGGAGGTTCTCCCATGGTCACATAGCTAGTGAATGACAGAGCTGGGACTAAAGCCCATTCCTCCTGACTTCCTTGAGACTAGTGTTCTTTCCATACACCACTCTGTCTTTGGGAGCCCATGTAGATTACACCCATAATGAACCTGATTTAAAAAAATATTTATTTTTAACATTAACAATTTTTTTTGAGTTCCAAATTCTCACTCCTTCTTGCTCCTCCCCCAACCCACTGAGAAGGCAAGTAATGTGACATCAATCACACATGTGAAGTCATGTGTAATTCCATTTCCTGATAAGCCATGTTGCATAACAAAAAGAAACAAAGAAAACAAGAAAAGTATGCTTCAGACTTGTACTCAGAGTTCATGAGTTCTTTTTTCTTTCATGTGCTGACCCGATTTGTCGATGCATATACAACACACTACCTAGTATGATACATTGACATAATCTTACACATACAATTAATAAGACCCAGGTGGGGCCATGGGCTGACAGTCAATTTAGCACCATCCTATAGATGCCTGGTGGGGATTCAGGGATTCCTGCTTAGCTGTAGCCCTGCTATCTCCTGGGATGTGAGATCAGTGTGTGGGCACCATTCTGTTTCTATAGAAAGGAGAACCCTGAGCCATTCCCCACTCCCATCCCCCTAGACGACAGAAACCCAGTTCAAAGATTAAAGAATCAGAGTCATTAAGAACAGCATTATTGATTCTTTTCAAACAGCTTTTTCTAAAATATTGACTCCAAAGCACACAATTATGCTTATAGAGAAAATAGGGCAAAAAAGTGGAAAGTTGGGTTCTTCACTTTCTCTGTGACCTGTATCCCTTTCCTTTGGCAGTCTGGTAAAGCCAATGGACCTTTTCTCCAAATTATGGTTTTAAAGTCATAAAATAAAAATATGGAGGATGACAAAGGAGGCCTGTTACATTGCAATATTTTGTTCAGTTGTTTAAGAGGATCTATGAACTTGGATAGGAAATTTGGTTGCTTTTCTTGCTCAGTTATTTCAGTCATATCTGACTCTTTGTGACTCCATTTGGGGTCTTCTTGGCAAGGACATTGGAGTGGTTTGCCATTTCCTTCTCCAGCTCATTTTTCAGATGAGGAAACTGAGGCAAACAGGGTTAAGTGACCAGGGTCAAACAACTACTAGATTGAAGAGATGCTACTAACCCCTGCTGGGGTCTGAGGCTGGATTTGAAGTCTTTCTGGCTTCAGACCAGCACTCTATCCACTGCTCCACTATATTCAAATATAGTTATCAGTATATTAAAAAAAAAACAAGTTCACTGACTTTAGGTTAAGAACCTCTGCTCTATGGAGATATATCATAGTCTTGATTTAGAATCACAGAATTTTTTTACAAGGTGATTTTTTTTTTTTACAATCCCTAGGGAAGAGGCGTTAGGGATGCCCCCATTTTGCAGATGGGGAAACTGAAGCTACTGACCTACTCAAAGGCACACACACAGTTAGCCAGTACACAGCAGAGAATCAGTGCAGGATTTCCCTAACCAAGATGGTGGGGAGTCTGTGTTTTAAACAGGGGGAGGGGGCAATCCAGGAGATTCTTCCAGGGAAGTGACTCACCTCTGGTGGACTGTGGGAAGGGGAGATGATGGGATGAGGGTCCTCTTGGGCCTCTGCAGCACTGATTTCACGGGCAACGTCTGCTTAACAGCACTGATTAGCCGAATCATTTTGCGAAGCAGAGAGGAAAGTTTTCAGCTCACAGGACGGCCGGGGGATGCTCTTGGAAGGTCCGATGGGTCTTATATATACTCCTCAGATTGCTGCCTAGGGAGGCTCCACCCCGTGTTTATCAAGAGTAAGTGCTCTTCATTTTCTAAAACTGGACCAAAGGTCTCGCTGTACAGTAGCCAAATGAGGCCTCAATAGAAAACATTGTCTCTGACAGGCATCAAGGTGCTGGCCTTTGGAGTTTGTTGTTTCTCTGGGGGTGTGGAGGTGGGAGACAGAGGGAAGAGTTGTCTCCATCGTATTCTACAGTTACCCTGTGAGTTTACCCATCTCAGTGGGGCCTGAAGAATTCCCTTTCCTTCTTTCACAATACAGCCAAAGGGAAAAAAGACTCTGGAAATTGTAGGGCAGGAGAGACCTGAGGAAATAGTTGGGCAAGAGGGATTATTGTCCAATCTCCCTGGTTATCCAAAGTTTTAAAAATCCAAATGAATGAATCTCTAATAGGGAAATTGTGTGGTAAACAGGAGGTGGACTGTGTGGTAAATAGGAGGTGGGCGGGGAACTTTGTGGGCCATAGGTCACATCTTGTAGTCAAGGGAGGTGTTTATGCCTGGTGTGGATTCTTTGTTTTTCTTTGCTGCTGGATATATAGCTCTAGATAGAATAATGTGGCAGTAAACAAAGGTTTATTGTCTTCTCTTTAAAGTCTGTAAGCGAAATTTTGGGTAGGACTTGCCTTTCCTATTATATGTCATAAACTACTTTGTTTAATATCCAGTCAGGAGGAAATTCAACCCAACTTATAAACCTTGGCTTAGTACCTACTATATGCATGGTGCTGGGGATTGAGGGTGGGGAGGGAGTTCCAAAAGTAACTTATAGCCCAGTCTCTGTCTCCCTTGAGGTCTAGAGGTTTAGGGGTACTGGGACCCCAAAATCGCAATACACAGGTCCTGCCTGAATGAATTCAACCCATGCCTTCTTTCAGCCAAAGACAAGGTTTATTAAAGATCCACCCTATTGGCCAGACTCTTAAGGAATCCGAATATTTGTGAGCTATTGGCTAGATTATAAAAACCTGAGGTCTGGCTAGACTCTTAAAGAATCTGAGCACCTTAATGGAGACAAGATGAATCTTATATACAGAAAGATTGTAGGAGGGATCCAGGAGTGGCCAAGCAGTCTGGGGTGACTGGAGGAGGGGTCTAAGGAGGATCTGGGTGGGAATGGCCAGTAAACTGGGGTGAACACAATGCCAGGGATCTGGACTACAGGGCCAAGGGAGAATGAAGTCTAGATAGCATTAAGGGTGGGAAGTGTCCAGGGGCAATTGGGAGGTAACAGAACAGAATTGGGAGATTGAGTGTAGCCACAATGAAAGGCCAGTTGAGTGGATTACAGCTTCAGGCAAATGCTAAAGATTTGGGAAAAGTCCAGGGATTTTCTTTTTTGGGGTCCGGATTCCAAAGACATGGTCTTTTCCTTTTAGGGGTTCAGATCCCATCCCCATCATTCCCCCCTCAAACAAATGGGACCCAAAGTCTTTTGGGGTAAGGGGTGAAGGTCTTGGCTTCTGAAACTGCTTCCTGCTGGCAAGGGGCATAGAGCTGTCCCTGCCTCGAGGGAGTCCCAAAGAGGAGGTTGACTGGAACCGAGCACAGGCTGCATCCGGGGCATGGCGGGCGGACGTTGACTGGTACCTGCTGTTTGCTACCAACTGTAGGTGAACAGCCTGTAGTCTGGAAGACACAAATCTGACAGAAAAGACTGCAGGGTCCAGAGATATGGAGAAGTAAAAGTGTAAGAGCCCCATTAAAATCATTTACATTTGACCTGCAGGATTATCTGATCTCATTACTTTTTCCCAAGTTTAAGTAACACTTTTGCAGGTAGAAGTTTTCCATCCCTGGGTTCAATAATTACACAAATGAATTTGCTAAGAGATTGACTTTCCCTTCAATTATCACTGAAATTCTCCTCTCCAAACCAAACTGAAGATGTTTCTGATTTAATTTCAATTGTTTAGGGGAATGACTACACATTCAGGTCAAAACAGTAAGATCTCACACACTTGTATTGATCTTTTACTGACCCCTTGCTCATATTATAGAAATTAGCTATAAAAGGATAAAGCAGGAATAAGATTTAGGGCTCAAATATTTCAGGATAAAACATCCTTAACTCTGCTTGAATTCAGATAATTCACAGTTTTCCAACCGTGTAGTATCAAATCCACCTCATACCCAGACTCAGGAATAGCCAGGTGGTTAACATTCCTTTTCAAAGGAACATAATGGGGAAACTGAGCCAGGAGGATCCCATCTTAGACTGAGGCTAAAATTGTCCTCTCAACTTTCCCGTATGCTGACTCCCCACCAGTATCACATTCTCTCTTAGCTTGTGGTATTTCTCTCAGAGATGGTGGATTATTGATTATTGATGGATTATTATGATTCATCAGACAACTGAAAATAAAATCATTTTATCGCAAAGAGCAAGTTTCACTAATCACAGCTTAGGGAAAAACTTTTCCAGGATTTATATCTCAAATTTAAGTTTTCCTGGTGTAAAAAGTAGATTGTTTGAGATTATTTCTATATACTTGCAAATTCTCAGCAAGCCATAACCCAAACAAGCTTTTTGGCAAGTTTACACATTAAAACAATAACCAACAATAGCCAAATTGTTTTAGCAATAACCAAATTATGAAAAGTTGCTTGACATAACTGATACAAAAAGTTCATCAATTTGAAACTTGAAACAAACCCATTACCAATCAGGTGACTTCAATTTTGTTAAACGCATTTCCAAATTACTTTACACAGAAAATCAACATTTCATCATGAACGGTTAGAACTACAACTTTAAAAGAGCTTGCTTACCCAAGTTCGGAGGCTAGCTTCTTTACCTTGACCCATTCCCCTTCTCTCTCTCCCCACAGCTGCTGGGGGTTGAGGTCGGGGTGGAGGGTGAGCAGGATGTGCTGAGCTTGGGTGATACTTCCAGGCAAAGGTTGCCCCAGGGCCCAAGGCCATTGCCAGTGCAGCCCATGCTGTAGCTGCTGCCCTTCCCCCCTCCTTCCTTTTACCAGGTAGGGGGAAGGCAAATTCAAAAGTCTGGGGGGAAGGGTGAAACTCTCATCTCCTATGAGAGATACCCTCTTGACTAAAGGGAAGGGAGTGGGAAAAGGAAGTGACCAGGCTTGTAAGGAGGTGTTTCAAAACTCCTTAATGATCGATCACAAAACCTCCAGAATCTGCCAAGATGTTTTTAGCTGTTCTAACTTTTCCCTATAACCTCCATGAAGGAGGATTCAGGGATGTAGAGGGAAGGGAGTAAGTAAGCCTCAGGGAACCAAAAAGCACTTGCCGTTTTCCCAATTCCTAGTGCTGAGAGAATTGACAGAATTGGGCATATACTTCTGGATAGGGCTGCCCATCCTTGTACTGTATGCTGCAGAAGGTGTACCCAGGTCCATGGCCTTGAACCAAACCAGTGGACTGAGGGTCTGAGAGCATCAGGCCAAGTATGAGACAGCCTTGTAATTGTCTGCCTGAAAAGCACCTGCAAGCCTTCTTAAATGCTTGGAGAGCGACCCCAACTGCAGGGCAAGAAAGAGGGAGAGGCTTACATACTTTCCAGTCTTGGCTGGAGAAGAGCTTGAAGTTAGGCATGTAAATCACAACTTGTGGGTCCTGCCCAAATGAATATGATCCAAGTCTTCTTTCAGCCAAAGATAACGTTTATTAAAGACCTGCCATATTGGCCAGACTCTTAAGGAGTCTAAGCGTTTACCTCTAGACCTCCACATCTCTAAGGAGCTTCTAGTCTCCTAGAGCAAAGATTCTTAACTTGGTGTCCACCAACTCAAGGAGTCAATGGATAGATTTCAATTCATGGGGTTCATGAACTTGGATGGGAAAAATGTATTTTTATTTCAATACAATTATTGTCTTTTGTAATCCTATGTATTTTACTTTATTCATTGAAAAATATGATTTTCAGAATAGGCTTCACCAGACTGCCAAAGGGATCTATGACATAAAAAAGCTAGAGGATGAATATGAATATGAATGACTATAATACAAGATACAATAATAATGGTAAAGGAGAACCAGACATGCTACTCAGGAAAGTATGAAGTGAGAAAGAAGCCTTTCAACCAGGAGGTTGGAGTAGGGATGCCTCAGGGAAGGCTTTTTTGTTGTTCATTTGTTTCAGTCCCATTTGACTTGACCCTATTTGGGATTTTCTTGGCAAAGATACTAGGGTGGCTTACCATTTTTTTTCCTCCAACTTGTTTTGCAGATGAGGAAGCTGAGGCAAATGGGTTGAAGTGACTTGCCCAGAATTATATAGCCATTAAGCGTCCGAGGCTGGATTTGAACTCAGGAGGATGAGTCTTCCTAATTCCAGTTCAGACACTCTACTCACTGCCCCACTTAGTTACCCCAGGGAAGGCTTTTAAGGAAGGGGAAGTGTCTGAGTTAATGAGTGCATTCAGAGCATGCACTGAGCCAGGAGGCATCAGGGAACTAGTAGTACAATTCCCCTTAGTAATTTTATTTTTATTTAATTAACAAAAATCTGTCTTCTATCCCTCCCATCTTCCCAAACCATTGAAAAGGAAAGGAAAAAAAAACCCTTATAAACAAATCTGTATACTGAAAACAAATCCCCACATTGACCATGTTTCTTTCCCTCCCCCAATAGATCTCTGTGCTCTGTGAGTGCATCACCTCTCTGTTGGCAAGTGGGTAGCATATTTTACCATCAATCCTCCGGAATCATGGTTGATCAGACTTCCTAAGTCTTTCAAAGTTGCTTGCATCTGTAATTTTGCTGTTGTTGTATAAAATGTTCTCTTAGTTCTGGTCTCTTCCCTCTGTGTCAGTTCATGTAAATCTTCTCAGGTTTCTCTAAAACCATTCTCTCCATCATTTCTTACAGCGCATTAGCATCCTGTCCCATTCACTTACCATAACTTGTTTGGACATTCCCTAATTGATGGGCATCCTTTCAGTTTTAGTGGTATGGTTTGGCTGGAAAGAGCGCTGAATTTGGAATAAGAAGACCTGAGTTAGAATTTGGGCTCCAACACCTAGTTTTATGCGACTATGAGCAAGTCATTTAACCATTCTGTTTCTGCTACTTCCTCATTTTCAAAAAATTTGTATTTTGGTTAGAGGGGGGAAGGGAAGAAAAAGGATCAGTTTGTGATTTCATTAGCACTCAGAGGGCCTAATGAGGAAATTCCCTTTAGCAATGCAAAGAAGCATTAGCTTCGACACTTACAGGCTTAGAAAGTCACTTGGGACATTGAAAAGTTTATCAACTTGTTCGGAATCACACAGTTAGGATGTGTCAGAAGCAAGCCTTGAACCCAGGTTTTCCTGATCCCTAAGATATCCCTTGCAAAAATAAGTCCATTAGCGTAGTGTTGGTGGAGCTGTGAATTGGTCCAACCATTCTGGAAAGGAATTTTGAACTAACCCTGAGAAATTATTAAGCTGTTCATACTCTTTATCCCAGCGATATCACTTCTAGGATCCTACTCTCAAAGAGATCAAAGAAAGAAGAAAAGAAGTCATTTGTAAAATATGCGTGTGTATATGTATATATGTATATATACACACATGCACACACATATACTTAAGTATACACAAATACATTTATATATGTAAATA